TATAAAGGAATGATGAGTTGAAAAACAATAGAGAAGCTACATCACAACATGTAACAATAAAGAAAATCAAGCGAAGAAGCTGCTTTAATTGAAATTTGTTGCGCATTTATTAATTTCTATGATAAAATTTAATTTTGAATCAATAGACTTTTTACCGGTTTTTCAAAATTTGAATAAAGGGTCTTAATTTTTTCCTCACTTCAAAAAGTTTTTATCATTTTCAAAGAACTTCTAAGTACAAATTGATTAATATTTTTCGTAAACAATCATGAAAAATGTAGCAGAAATCCAAAATTATTTATACATCATTCTAAAATTGCCGTTTAACTCATCAAAATAGATTTAACCTCATTAACGATACAAAATGGCATCATATGACCAACATGTTTTCACAAAACCTAGCTAAGTTAAGCTTAAACATCTCTTTACCTTTCTTCTTTATAAAATGTTTAATCGTTGGTGGGTAAAAGTCTATTTTGGTAGTTCATAAATAGTAGTGAAAAGAAAAATATCAAATTACAATTATTATTATGAAAATCACGCAACAATTAATGGGCTTTCGACTTAATATCGTAAATATTTTTGCTTCTCTATTGTCATGTCATGTGAGGCCAATGGAGGTGGTTTCTAGGGATCATTACTCGTGTGCATAAATATTATTCTCTATGGGCGCTTTTGTTTTGGTAGTAGGCACATTGAAATGAGACTTTATTGACCCTTTGGGAAAATTATTTGATGTTTCATGATTGCTTGACTACCACGCAAAGGGTTTTGGAAGCTGATACTTTGATCTTTAGGCATGAGATGACTTAAACTTTCGGAATGTTGCCAATTCAATTTTTTAATTAAAATTTCTACACTGCGCAGGAACAAAATCATTCCAATTAATCTCATTACGTCAACAGCTTTAAACAAAAATCAATTCAGCTAATAAACATTTCATAATAATTCCATATTCATCATTAAAGGGCAGTGGGAAGCAAACTCAGAATGAACAGTGAAAAACATGTGTCATAATGCCTAATTGATCATTTATAAAGATATAAATGCATATTTCCCACTGGGTCAAATGAGAAAAAAGTTCGAAGCATTTCAAAATATTCCGTTTTTATTACATGATATATTAAATAGCACTAAAACAGTCAATAAAGTCTAAACTATGCATATATACAATAGAGAACAAAAATATTATAATATGAAATAGTTAAAAGTCAATGTCTTTTTGGGGTTTCAGTGTGATTAATAGCCTGAGGGAAGACATTAAAAATACTAACCATGTATGAAATGAAAAAATCTTTCGAAATTTTAGACAAGTGAGTACGAAAGGCCAGTTTTGATTGAAAATTGAGCGTATTTAATGTATATTTTCTAACGGAATTTCAAACTTTGAATTTTTCAAAAACACGTGGTTTTCTCCACCTCGAAAAGTTTATCGCTTAAAAATCTTAAACCATTGATTCTTTTTATTAATTTCCTGTTGATTTAACAACAAAAAGATGGCAAAAGTCAAATAAACTTGTAACAATGAAGCAAACAGTTGGAATTCACTTCATTACAAGCAATTCATTAATCAAACTTTCTAAAATAAAGACAAAATGTTAACAAATTAATTTTCTTCGTTTCCAAAACTCAGCACTCTACTTGGGAGTATAAATATATATTTTTTTTGGTATTTAAGGAGTGCGAGTATAGCTTCCAGTCATGACAACAGCAATTTTGTAATGTATTTAGCTAGTAGTTTCGCGCCTTAATTGAATAGTGAATACTGTATGTGCCTACTACCATCTCTAATGCTTTTGTTTTCTGCGGTGAATGTCTCTACTACTAATTGTACATCTTTCCATTGTCTCTCCATCATAAAATATGATTTACGTAACAAAATATTTCATTTTAATGAAATTAAATAAAAAGTTTTGTTGTTTCTGATTGAAATGTTAGGATGAATAAATTAGAAGTTGCCAAATTCGTAATTTTGTTGTTGAATAGAAGTAATAAGAGAATTGTTTTTAGTAACTTGCCATGAACTTTGTTGTTTATTTTTTTATTTTGATTAATTTTTGGTGCAAAAAAAATATTATAAATTTTGAAAGTATATACAAAATGGTTTTAATTGATTTGAAGGAAGATTATTTGTGTGTGTGGTGTATTTTTTGTGTGAATTAGGAAGTAATAATTAATTAATCAAAAGAAAAAATCCATCAAAGTGAGGAAACAATACATGCTTAATTAATGAGCTTCAATTCTTCTATTCAGAGAATTATGAAATTGAGTTGAGGTGTGAAATTTACTCTAAATTGCCTTATATTGAATCTTGCCTGTTAATAATGACATGTGTGTGAACAAGAATATTAAATGTGGCAGTTTATTGTGGATTAAGTTGTTGCCAACTCAACAAGATTTTTATCGTTATTTTATTTTTGGCAGATATTTATGGTAAATTGCTGAACCCGAGCTGCATATGATGAATATTTGAGTTGTATAGCTGTCTTATGATAGTTTATCTAATCAGTCGAGATTCGACCACAGTCAAATGTTCATCATGCCACATAGTTATTCCAGCAGCTCTACCAAAGCCACAATTATTAATAATCAGCTCGGGTATAGAAATTTTGACAACTCTTTTATGACACAAACTGCATTTTCGCATTCAATTTTCCACATTTGCACTCATAAACATTTAGAATCAAACTTCAACACCCCAAAAAATTCTTTTTTCCCAATCATTCTCTGCTTTGAATTGCCGCCACTAATTTTTTTATAATATTATTAACCAATCAATAATTTTTAACCCTTTTATCATTAAACAATTGTATCATTATTGCCGTTGGAAATGCCGCATAGTCATAAACATTCGATGATATAGATTTATTGCTTTTATGAATAACTTCCACACCTGATAATTGCTTCTTTTGAATATAACTGACTTAATTTTATTGATGGGAACGATATTCAAATTTGTAGGACTAAGCAAGCATGTAACTAGCTTAATTCTAAATTGAATATCATGTCCAAAAGCAAAATCTACAGAAATAAGAAGTTTATTTAAAGGTATGATGCAAAAATCTTAGAGACAGTACTTGAAAAAATTTGTTACGGACCCAAGAGACACCAAATGAGAAAATCATGGCCGTAAACAAATTCACGGCTTAAATTTGATTTATGCTCAAACTTTAAAGCACAAATAGAGAGCAAATAAGTAATTACCATAAATTAATTTTGTCTATTTAACAAATGTGCGGTAATCTCTTGTTCCTTTCTTTTTTTCCAGTTCAATTGTCTTTCTGCGTCTCTTTTCCTTCCTCGTTCTCTTGAATTTTGAACTTTTTATGTCACTTTTAACACCAATAAGTAATTTTTTCTGTATTATTGTCTATAAAGAGTCGTTTTTTCAATGTGTGATAAAGACATATGACGATGCCGACATGGAAAAGTGAACAAATACACTTTTTATAGTTTTTTTTTTCGAAATAATAAGAAGAAAATTGAATACTCGTGAGCGAGTTCAATGAATATACTTGGTATGGGAATATTTTATATAGACGATAAGTTTGTGTATTGGGTGATGGGAATAATGAGCTTTGAATTTGATCAAGATTTGAACATATTTGATGATTTTTAATCATTTTGATCAGAATCACAACTTTAAGAATCTGAGCCATATCTGGTAATTTTTTAAAAATGAGTAAGTTGGTAATGTTTCGATCTAAATTGAACAATTCAAACTAGAGATTTTGAAAAAAAAATTCTTGTTTAACTAAGCTCAGGAATCGGTTAACCAACTAATCCTAGATCAATCATCCTAGATCAATCATCGATTATTTTGAGTTTCTCTTCAAGTTGAAGTTCCTTTGTGTTATCTTTAAATTTTTAGATCTTTTTATTAATTTTAAAAATCTTTTAAAAGGCAATAAAAAATAGATTTTTTAAAAAGCTCATCTTTAATTTCAATTTTTAACCTCAAGTCGTGATTAAACGATAATAATTCTTAGAGCTTATTAATAAATTCACGTGCCTTATTTAAAATTATAAACAAGCTGCAATTCAACTGACGACACTTTTCCTACTTGAATTACTTTGCACCTACAATTTTGGTAGAACGTGATGGAGTTGGCTATTGCTTTTAAGGCATTAAAATCGAATTTATTTGTGCTTTTGACACGATTTTGAAAATCCTTTTTTTTGCCCAACTTCATATTTCTATAAAATCCTTTAGCTTAACAACTTAAAAACCTTAAAATCAACTTGAGGCTTTAAAAAATACGCAACTTCTGTTTTTTTTTTCAATAATTTCCTAATCAATATTTCCAAACGCGACTACCACAACAACCTAATACACAATAATAAATTATGAGCTCCAATAACGAGAACTTACACATGTTTTCCTAACTTAATTTCCTATTGTACAATTGTACATAATCATTAGAGCATTAACAAAAGCACTCTCGTTAGTGATAAATATTAAGTACATAGATAATTTTCATTTGCTGGTTGTAAATATGTAATGCACAAACATTACAAACATTTTTTCCTTTCATTTCTTCTGTTATTATATTTATACTTGACAAATATTGACACTTTAGACTTGAAAAGTGTTATGGAAATGTGAATGAATTTACTGTGGAAATAAATACTTTTCAGCTTCTTGGAAATTTGATTGAGTTCTGGGTAGGTTGGGTGTGTCGGTTTGTGAAGTGGAAAATTTTAGAAGATTTTTTTTTAAATTAATTTTTTGATTTAAAAAAATCAAATTTGAAATTAAATCACTTCTGAAAAAATTATTGAATTTATTCTGAATTTTCGCAGTATTAAAATTAAAATAAAAAGTTCAAACTCGATGAGAAACGAAGCAGCGACGGGAAAAGTCGAGAAAATTTAAAACTTATTAAAAAATTATCATCAAACTGTGTGTTTTAAGTAATTAAATTAACAACAAATAAATAAAACTTAAAATAATAATTTAATTGATATCAAAACCATTAAAAAACTTTGTTCATATTTACCTGTGCTGACGTAAGTTATCTTGACGCTTAAAATATTTTCCGCACACCTCGCAAGCATACGTCAATTCGGGACTTTTGTGGGTACGTTCGTGTATCATCAAATTATATGGTTTAGTGAAACGTCTCTGGCAAAATTTGCACACAAATTCACACTTTGGTCGCATCTTACGACGGAAATCCGACCGACGGTCGTCATTATCAATTCGCATTACCGCAAACATTTTGGTTCTTTTTTTTGGATTAAAGTCTTATAATATTTTTTTGAGAGAATATTTCGCTAGCTTTTTTGCACACACAATGTCTCTTGTGTTTCTCTTTTCTCCTCTTATCCTACTACGGGATTAATGTAGACACTCCGATGGAAGCACCACAAATGTGAACTTCTCTCTGCCTTTTTTTTCAAGCTGTCTGTCTGTATGTGTATCGACTTTATTTTTAACTTTATTTTTATTTTAATACACAATACTTAGATGCTTCGTGTGCTGGTCTTAATGCATTCAAATGAACAAAAAAGAATTTTTCTCTCTTTTTTTGTTATGGGATTCTTCTCCTTATTCTTATTATTGTTTGATTTGTCGTCTCTTAAGTGAATCTCTGTAAAGGAACAAAAAAAAAAGAAAAAGGCGTTAAAATTGTGTGTCGTTTTTATCTAAATTGCTTTAAATTAATTTTTTTTTCTTTCTTCTCACTCGATTGTGGCAGTGCTGAATATCTTTTTTTATATTCATTTCTACTTCTTCAGAATCGAATACAAAAAACGATCGACTACAAAAAAGTTCGACTAAAAGCATAGTCAACGAGCTAAATGTCAAAATATATTGTATGATATCATTTCCAAATGAGTTATCATTGAATCGAGTGAATATTTTTCACTGTTGCTAGTCTTGGATTGCTGCTTCCCTTGTGGAGATTTTTGGGTGCATTTTTGAGATTTGTTTGTTGAGTCATGTAGATATTGTTGATATTTTGTCAATTTTTTTTGGAATTTTGGGAAATGTGGATTTTTAAAGATTCATATTACGGATTATAAGCAATTGTCATGCAGAAAAAGTTAAAATTTTTGAAATTTGAATGTTAAGTGCTTGATTGAACTCTCGTTGAATTTTCCAAGACCTTCATAGAAATATTCTTATCAAAAGTTATTTTTTTCAATAACTTCAACCACTTTAGTAGACTTAAGTCTAGGTAAAAACCCTAAATATCCTCATTGAACTGAAGTTTATCTAGTTTGTAATCTATTGCTTAAGTATTTGATCACACATAATTTACAATCAGACTTTCTCATTCACCTTTAAAAGATACATCTTGAAGTACAATCGACTCTAAGGTAGCGATAACTTAGAAAACTATTCAAGTTTGTCACTAAACGTCTTATTGTTAATTTCTATTGTTCTTTTCTTGCTGAACCCCCCCCCCCCCGGACGTCATTATTGAACGGCCCCTAAAATAAACAATTTTCCCGAAAATAGCAGATTCCACCCAACATCAACTCAACTTCCTCACAAAATCCCCGCAAAGGATTAATTTATTTCACGATAACAACCGCCGTGACGACAACATGCGAGACCTTAATTTATGTAAATGTTCAAGATTAATATTCGAATTAATTCTACTGTCGATTTTAATGCAATTGTAAATTTATTTTTTTACACCTGAGTGACTTCCAATCTATAAAATGTAGATCTATATTGATCAAGCTGTGAATGTTTACCTTACGATTTTCCTCACACTAAATGAACTAATAGGCTAATCCATAAACTATTGAAATTTATATCACTCGTAATGGCTGATTATAAAGTGACACTCAACGACTGTACAAATGCAATTCTTTTAAGCGCACTTTTGTCGATATAAAAAAAATTCTCACTTTGTATTGATTGGATTATTTTTTGCACATTTTACTTGGCATATGGTGGGTTTTGAGCTCACACGGGTGCACAAAAGAAATCTACAATGTTCATGTAGTCATAAAAGCTTATGAATTTATTGAGATTTTAATGGAAACTGAAGTGAAAATTGAAATTGAAAGTGTCTCGATAAATTTAAGTCAATTAATTATCGCACATTACAGTAAATTAATGGAAGTGTATAAATTTGCAGCTACGAGGTTGTCTACAGCAATGATGAAGTAAATGTCAATAAATTCGAGATATTTATAGTGTTTTGAGATGGAGTTTATAGCTTTCTTGTAAACAGTCCCAAAATTGATCACCAAACAGCGCCAAAACCACAGTAAAAATTCAAACCACAAACTTTCATACTTAATTTTGAAAACGTCACTCTAAGCTTAATGCGATTTTGAGTGCATTGTAATAAAGAACTTATCGTGACTTTGTTTATAAAATGACAAATTATAAATGCCTTTCAATTTCGTGTCTGAATGTAATTTCTAATGGCGTGTCTCAGTTTCAGCTTTGCTGTGAATTAACTACTTGTTTATGAGCCTTCCCCATTTCTGGTACGAGAATTATTTACTTGGGTGTCTTTTTCACACTCTTGTGAGCTTGCATTATGTGCATGGAGATAAGTTTAAGCTGGTTATAGATGATGGATGCTTATTGGGGGATTGGAAGTTGTTGAGGATGATTTTGCTAGATTTTCTGAAGAATTTGGAATAATTTTGTAAATTTTCGTTAAATGAGACTTGCTTTTTGATTTTTAAGGATTATAGCACTATGAGCTGCTATAGATTGGTAGCTATCTCTAGCTCAATGTAAGGATCACGCGAGAATATTACTGAAAAATATAGGACTTAAAGTAAGAATTAATCATTCGTCTCTCAGAACCCCCAACTTAGTAGCGTTCAAGCACTTCAAGTTGTTGAACACATCTGTCAGCAACAACTTCAAATATCAACACAAAATCCCCACAAAGGCACCTCCATCAAAATGAATTATTTCAATCCATAAAATTGCAAATTAACATGATATGTGCTGCTGACTTGAGACTTATTGAGTGGTATTAAGTGCTATTTTTGTTAGCTATATATTGTTTTCCTGACTATTGGGTGGTCACACACAATCAACTAAATTGTGACTCATATGCATGACTAGAAAATTTGCCGCTGTCTATGCGAGAAAAAAAAATTTTCTCACCGATAAAATGTCGCAAAAAAAATAATTTGAAAAGGAAAGAATCAAGTCGTTGAAGTCGTTGTCGATGATTTTTTTTTTCTCAGGGAAACATAGTCATAAAATTATTAATAAAATGAAGATGATGTCGACTAATAAATTATATTTTATGATTCCACTTGAATTCTTCTCTCTCTTTGTAGCTATTTAGTATCATGAGGAGATGAAACTTCTTAATTCTTCTGTTAAACTTCGATCGACTCTTTTTCTTGAAAAAAATAATTTTTTGATTGTTTCTTTTTATTGTTCAATAGATCGATAGAGACGCGCCACTTGATGTTCAAAAAGTTATTAATAATAATTTATATTTGAAGAAATCTCCATGTGTGTACCGTAAAATTGAGTTTTTAAGGCTCTGTGCTGTTAGATCAAAGCGCATTTATTGAATGTGAACGGGACTGTCTTGAGGATTAGTTAAGTTGTTCCAAATAAGTCTAGTATCGACTAATGGAAAGTGCAAAATAAATTTCAGTCTTAGAAACATCTAATCCTCATAGAATACCCACCCAAACTGACAAACTTAAATCTCAAAGACTTAGTCAACATTGTTAAAAAGGAACCGGCACACAAAGCATCGTGTGAGAAAACCAAATAATATGGCATCAATTTTCATCAAATTCTTCCATCATCCGACTATTTAGAGAAGAATCAACATTCTTTTCACTCAATCTTCATCATCTAAATGCGGTGAGAAATAGATTTAATGATGATATAAGGTGTAATATAGTAATAATCGGCAACTCAATTCAATCACACAAATTTTCCATTCATTGAAATCTTTTGAATTCTCATCTCTTTTGAGAGAAGATCATCATCATCAGCACTTATGAAATATCACACTATTTATGATCCTTATTTTATTTGTGAACGAGTGGGGAACTTTTTGAATTGGGAGATATTAAATAGTGGAGTTGAAAAGGCTTAAAAATAGAAGTTTTGAATCCAGATTTTGATCGGAACAGATCAGATCATTTTAGGTATCTTTTGGTATTTTCTGTGGCTTTTAATATCCTAAGTGAGACTTAAAACTCGTTACAAACTTGATTCTAAAAATAAATGCAATATTCCTTCCTTTCCTTTGACAAGTTCCGAAACATCCAAAAACAGATTTCGCAATCAATGAAATATTTACCAAATATCAACAAAAATGACATCATTTTATTGAATCATCAACAATTATCCTCAGAATTTTTCGTCATTCTCATAAAAAACTTAATTTTAGTGATGTTGCTTCATTCATTCTGAGTTTCATGTTGGTTCCATTCATGTCTTATTTCGGAAATGCATCTCGATTCATTCAATAAAGTTCGAGTATCTTCTTTGCCTTTTTGAATGAATCAATAAAATTATGAAATTCAATAAATTCCCATTGTTTCGACTTTATTGCTGTGGCTTGTATTGAGCATGTAATTAGTATGATAGGCATGGTCAATGTAGGATTTTGAGAGCTGTAGCGCATTTTGTAGATTGACTTGAAGTTTAAAATTAAGAATTCACAAATTATCTATTCAAGAATCACTTAATTAAAATGGATATTCTGTCAAAGAATTTAAATTTTAGCTACTAAGCAGCTTCTGCTGTTCTCGCGATCACAATCAAGATTTTAAGTAATTTGAGTCAAAAATTTAATCGATTCTATAGCAATTCAGTCCAAAAATACAGCAATGATTCATCTGCAGCCATAAAGTATATAACATCCAAATCATTTGCTATAATTCAAATGAAATTGTATCTTATGAATGAATAACTAAGCAGAGATGAAGCAGGAAAGAACATCCGTTCATATTTCTTCTATACTTCATCTAATTTATGATCTTCATGATCGACTATAGATTTTATTTTGTTACTACTCATTTATAATATTTCTTTTATTTTTTCGGCAAACTCAGCATCACAAAAAGATTATTTAGAGTTTTAAGTTACACCTCAAAAAAGGTATTGTGCTGTAACACAAAACGAATATAAATTGTAGCAAAAAAAAACTTCAAACGAATGAGATTGAATAAATTTATGTGAAACCACACAAATCAACAGTGAGGCTTTATATTTGAGTAAAATTTATTTAAATGAATTCGAATGATGAATCAAGAAGCTAAGACTATAATCAACCAAATTAGAATTGTAACGTGAATATTAAGGT